CTGGGTCCTGCCTGCTTTTCCAAGAACAACAGCGGGATCACCTCCTCAGAACTGTGTTGTTTGCAAACTGTATGATTCTGAGCCAGCTATTAAAAGCGTTTGGTTTGGGGCGCCTGGGTGGCTCAGTCCATTAAGCACCTGACTTCGGCTCAGGTCATGATCTCGCGGTTCATGGGTTCGAACCCCATGTCGGGCTCTGTGCTGACAGCCAGCTCAGAGCCTGGGGCCTGTTTCGGATTCTGTGTCTCCCTCTCTCTCTGGCCCTCCCCTGCTCACACTGTCTCTCTCTCAGAAATAAATAAAACATAAATAAACAAACATTTTTTAAAAACTTTATAAAAAAAACTGGTTAGACGTGCGCTCTGGCCTCGGGAGCACTTTGAGGAGACAGCTTGAAGAACTTACAGGCCACACACACCCCCACCACACAGGGGGACGGGGAGGGCCACATTCCTGGGAGTGACACACCTGATCCCATCTTTCAGACTTCAGCTGTCAGACTAAGTAGGAAGTGGGCTCTGGATTCAAGGAAAATGTCACAGACTTTGAATTTGTTTCCTTGGCTGCACAATAAGGATGATAGGACTGACAGCTTGTGGGCTGACCCCGTGCCTGCCCCCCCAACCCCCAGGAGCCCCCTTGGCACTGTCAGCCCTACCCTCACAGGAGCCCCCTCAGCACCATCAGCTCCCCCCCAGGAGCCCCCTCGGCACCGTCAGCCCCACTCCCACCCCAGGCAGGACTCTGCGCAATATGTAGCTCATGTGCGTCCACTGGCCTCGCCTTCTTAGAAAATTCGTTTGCCTTCCTAACATGTAACTGCAAAATGGTAGAGATGGCCCCGTGCCCTGTCTGGTCGTTTACTCAGCAAACCCGTGCAGAGCCAGGGCAGGGTCTGAGCATCTAGGGCCCCGGGGCCTTGGGCCTGGAACCCTGCTGGGTGGTCCCTAGGGGCTCCAGGACAGTACGTCCTTCTCCCAGGGAGGCAGTGATGTGTACGGCCCAGCCCTCGGTCGCAGAGGAACATCCTCCCAGTCAGACCCAGGGCCCCACGCTGGTGGCTCAGCATCCTCCACATGGGAACAGAATGAGAGGGGGGTGCTGGGAGGCAGATGGCCTGGTGCCAAGGGCTCAGGCTCAGAAGGATCTAGTTAAAGTTTGTGGTTCAGCGGCTCCTCGGAGAGCAAGCAGCCGGCCTGACTTTGACTCTCCCTGTCCTGCTGCTTTAACCGAGTTGTCTGATTTGAAAAGAGATGACACAGTAACACAGCTACATGCGCTCAGGACAGAGATTTTCCTAGAGCACGATCACGTGTCTCTGGTCCCTCGAGAAAGGAGCCAACACGGGGATGGGTGGATTGTGTGAGGCTTGGGGCTCAGGATCCATTAGCTGGGTGCCACCTCTATTCCCAAGGGGCCGTGGAAGTTTGGGTTCTACTTGGGTCCATCCTGCAGTCCGGGCCCCTCTAGGAGAAGCCCAGAGCGCCCATCTGGTGCGCGGCCTGGGGTCTGGGGGTCACATGTGCTTAAGGGAGAGAAAGAAACTGTCAGGAATGTAGTGAGTTTGTCATTCAGACTGATTTTTGGTGAACTCTCTTGCTTGTATTTGTCTGTTTTTGATAAGGTAGCAGGAGATTAAGTAACTTTTACAAAATTGAGGGGGCAGAGTTTGAACTGGAGTCTGAAAGTGGGGCACAGTGGGGGGGCACCCCGTGTGTTTCTGACCCCCACCCTTGGCTGAGGAGAAGCACTGGACTCCTGACCAGGGACCCTGGCTGTGGGTGGCCCCGAGCGGCGCCCCTGGAGTGCCAAGGCATTGGGGAGCCGCGAGGGCCATGGGGCTGGGGGCCCTTTTCCCATCATCACTGACAGCCCCAGCTGGCCAGGTGACATGATATTGGTAAAGACAAATGGCCGTTCACTTGGGGTCTCACTCGGCCCCTCCTGACAGCCTGTTCAGCGACCTTGGGAGGTAGATGAGAGGCTGTACCCAGATCAGCAAACTACTGATCTACAAGGACTCAGAGCCCAACATCGAGGGCACTGCAAGTCTTCTGGGCTTTCCCACAAAGCCCCCATTCTATTCCTTTCGCCGGGGCTGCCACAGGCACGTGGGCTGTGAACATGCTCTTTGTGTGTCTGTGGATCCTGCCTTTGGGAGAAAATGCCAGGTGTGTGTCCCAGGCCAAGGAGTGTATTGTGCCCCCACGCAGCCCTGTGACAGCGGACATGTCTAGGACAGGGTCCCGACCCCTTGCAGAGCCATGCCCGCCTGAGGCAGCAGCTACCTTCCCAACCGCCCTGCTCCTGTGTGTTGGCTCTGTGGGTCATCGTGGGCCATCGGCCACTGTAGGCTGTAGGCCACAAAGCCACGCAGGTGTCCTGTTCTCCCATGCTCCTTCCCATTCTTCTCTCTTCTCAACCATTCATTAACTTTCCAGCCGCAGTACCCCTGCCTGATCCAACTTGCATGTCCTGCCCTCCTTGTGGTCGGGGATGCCCTGGGGAGGCTGGCCTCTGGCCAGCGTGGCTCCCAACCGCTCTCCTCCCCTCTCCTCCCCACCAGCTGCCGCTGCTCCAGGGTCTCGGGCTTCTGAGAGTGGTGTTTCCAGACCTGCCAACACATCCTCGCTTCATTCCACATGACTAAGGCTCCAGCAAGACAGGAAAGGACACATTTCCTCGTCCAGACGTGCAGCCTCCAAGCCAGCAGGGCATGTGCAAGAGCAGGACCAGGCCCTGGCCCGGCCGCTCCGCACACCCCCTCCCCCCACCGTTTCTTCCTGAGAAAGTGTGGGGTTCCTCCCTGCTAGCCCGGCACGAAGTACGTGGCGGTGACCTACGGGCTGCTGTGCGCCCCCCCTCAGCTTTAGCCGTGCAGGACCCCCCGTTTTAGGGTGGATTTCTGATCCTGCGCACAATCCTCACACCAGAGCATCAGCTCTCCAATTTGGGACCACGTTCTGGCCGTGTCCTCACTGCCTGACGCAGGGCCTGGCAGAGTGCCTGTAGGCTGAATAAGGAAGCGCATTTTTGCTGTGAGTGTACATGCCCATGTTCCCGAGTAGCATTTTAGGCCGGCCCTTTCTTCAGCCTCTGCTAAGGTGCTCAGAGGCGCTGGGGTGGGGGCCTCGCCTCACCAGGTGCTCCTCACGCCCGACAGCCGTGCGCACACTGCCCGCATCTCCTCCGTCCCCTTCCCGCGCACAATGCCCTAGCTTCCAGAGCCAGCGTAAACACTGAGCCTCTGGTAGGCCCGTCTGCAGAGGCGCAGGCTGGAGTCCACATGGAGAGCCTCAGGGGCGGCAGAGGTGCTGGTGGGGCCACCCCGCCCCGCCCAGCGTCACCCCCACTGCCACTCTCCCTCCCCCAGGAGAAAGTAGACACAAGCGAGAAGAATCTGAGGAGGCTGGTGGTGGCAGGGGCTCTGGTCTTTCTGACTAAACCCCTTCTGCAACACATTCAAAAAAGCCAAACCCTAAAGAACCAGAGAGTTTAGATGGTGAAAAGTCTAAACTGCAGAGACGCGGCCTGTCCGCAGGCACATAGGGAGCGTGTGCCCAGGCCCTGGAGGGAATTCATTCCTTCCCCTCCGTGAGCCAGGCTCCACCGATAAGCTGCCCCCTCTGCTGCTCGCCCGGGGCCACCTCGGACGGTTTCTCAGCGCTGCCAGCCCCCCTTCTCACTTGAACAGCACTGCATGCGTCCGTGGATGAATGTGAAAAGCCGGGTGCAGCCCCACATGCCCTCTACCTGTTGCTTTGTTCAAGTTCAAAGACTGTCTCCGTAGGCGGCTCTCCATTTACTCAGCACCCAGCACGGACCCTGCTAGGTCTGGTGGGTGGCAGTGACAATTTTTCCTGCCCTCCAGGAGCTACCTACCACTTCATGGGGACACAAACCGCACACTGGTACAGGTGGACTGTGGGGCCATGAATCGTTCGGGGAGTCCAGGAGTGGCGCTGGACTGCTAGGGAGTGGGGACAGGCCGCAAGGGCACACACCCTTCCCCGGAGCTCCCCAGGCCCCGGGCCCGGCCCTCCAAGTCAGAGGCCACTCTTGGGAAAAGTCATTGCCGGGGACAGAAAAGGGGCTGCTTGCTTAGGAGACCCAGGCAAGGACAGGTGACGGGACCGTCAACCCCAGGACTGGTGAGGGTGAGTGGTGCTCACTGCTGCCCCGTGGTGACGGGGCTGGGAAGAGGCACAGCGCGCGAGCATGAGGATCCGGGGACCCTCAGCATGCGTGGCTGAGTCCTGCAGGCAAGGACAATGGGAGAGAGGACACAGCAGACAATGCACTGGGTCCAGGCGTGCTTCACAGACGGTGGGGTAACCTGTTCCATCCCTGCCCTCAACTGTTCTGCCTGATGGTTCTTTAAGCAACAGTTGGGGTACCGGGGATTTCTAGGCCGGGAGGGCCGGGAAGGGAAAGCAAAGTACCACGGGGGTGAAATGAAGTCTGCCAAGCAGGTTTGCCGGCCCTGCAGAGGCGAGGCCTCTGCTCTCACCCTGAGCGGGGCGAAGCCAACACTCCGGCTGGTGGTGATGGAAGAGGAATTTCCTCACATCTCACAGCCGAGGTGCCTGAGGGCTGTGTTGGGTACTACTTGGCTTCTTGATGCCACATATTGTCTTTAGAGACTGCTCTGTATTACACTCAATTCATGCAGGTGACAGTTCAGGGAAACAGGGCTGCCAGCCTGACGGCCCATGACGCCAGCCGCCTGCTGCCGCCCACCCTCCTCCTCCCACCAGATCGCAGCCGACTTCCGTGCCAGTGAGAGGACGTGAGACCTTCCCAGCTCAGCTGCTTTTAACTTGAGAGTCTGTGAATCTGAAAAAGGAAGTGAAATGTTGGACGTGATTAAACTCAGTACTTTATTTATGAACAGGCTACGAGGATTCAGCAGTGTGACAGAAGTTCCATGTACAAGAGTAGAAATTAAAAATCCAGCTTACAGGGAAAGAGATTTCCATATCTTTTTTTTTGGAGGGCAGAGACATTTTGAAGTAGACTCACCCCAGTACTGTATCAGATGAAGACAGTCAAGTATGAAAATGTCACAAACACCACTGTGATTAATAGCTCAGTTTATTAGCTGTTTTAATAAAGTACAACTTTATAGTGAAAATAACGTACTAGAAAGAGTTTTTAAAGCTTTTTTATGATATGCTTACAAAACCTCAGCGGACAGGGAAGATTTCCCCCACAGTGACACAGCACACACATCTCCTGTGAGCACAGCGGAAGACAGCCAGGTGGGCTGGCTGTTGACAGCCAGGTAAGCTCCTGGTGGCGCAGGGATCAGGCGCGGACACTGTAAGAGGGGCTTCTCAAAGTCGTGGCCCCGGATTACTAATGCAGAAATGCCACTTTTCAGCTGTGGTGAAGTTTCACAGAGGACCTTCCTTCGGCTGTAGTGACACTTACTCCAGTTCCACCTTGCCTTTCTGGTGCCTCTTCATCCTCGAGTAGGGACTCACTGTGTCATCCATCACGAAGTCGTACAGGACTTTGATCCAGGAGTTGTAGTGGGGGAGGCTGTCATAGTACTCGGCTGCGATCTTCCTCACCTACGAGGGCAAACACATAGCAACAGGGGTGGTGAGCGATGACCGAGTGCGACTGAACAGGACAGAGCAATGACGGACACAAACAGAAACCACAAGGCCTTCCTCCCTCCTGAAAGCAAACCCAGAAAGGCAGCAGCTTCGGGAATTCTAACATAAGGCACTTTGCGTTTCAACACCGAAATACACTTGACCCTCTAGGATTTCGGACTCTTTCCCATCACACTCTGAAATGTGTATTTTCTTTCTCTTTTTTTAATTTTTTAAAAATGTTTTATTTATTTCTGAGAGAGAGAGAGAGAGAGACACAGCGTGAGCAGTGGAGGACGCAGGGCTCAAACCCACGAACCGTGAGATCATGACCTGAGCCGAAGTCGGACGTTTAACCGACTGCGCCACCCAGGCATCCCTGAAGTGTGTATTTTCAATAGGTGAGCTGTATATGTGAACTACAACTCAATAAAGTGTTCAGAAAAAACCTTGTCACACACATCTATTAATGACGTGCTAGTCACATGCACTGTCACTACTCCATAAATACCAGCTATCTGCGGAGCAAACAGAATGCTCCCTGAGACGCACTGGACACAAAGGGCAGGAGGGGGAAGATGACCACAGCACCGAGGATGCAGACAAGTGTAAGGAGCTCCGGAGTAAGGTGCATCCCCACTGCATGCAGCGAGCGGAAACCGAGCGGACGCTACTGAGCCTAAGACTGTACATCAAGTGAACCTGAACCGAGCCATGTGTGCTGGGGACTGGTCAAGAAACTTGTGAGTTCAAGTTCAGCTGACCCTTGAAAAACACGAGTGTGAACCGTGAGGGTCCACTTAACACATAGACATGTTTTCCATATACACAGTGCAGTCCTGCAAATCTGTCTTCTCTTCCTTAGGATTTTCTTAACATTTTCTTTTCTCCAGCTTACCTTACTGCAAGAGCACAGTACATAACACCTATAACATACAAAATATGTGTTGATCGACTGTTAACGTCATCCATAAGGCTCTGGTCAATGGCAGGCTATTCGCAGTTACGTTCTGGGGGAGTCAAAAGTTACATGTGGGTTTTCAGCCGTACAGGGAGTTGGCACCCCAACCCCAGTTTTGTGCAAGGATCAACTCTACGGTTAATGTTGAAAATATCACTTTGTTCAAACGGCAACCACCTTTATATCCTCTTTAAAAAGTAAAAAGTCTACTTCCTTAGGAAGACACAAACACTGTATACAGGCTTGTACTCCGCCAGAAAGACAAAAAGTCGATGTGCCAGCGTCACATCACGATGCTTTCAAACTTGTCTTCGTTTGTGTGGTTTTCCCCCAAACATTTTATCTTGAAAAATGTGAAGCTTTGAGAAGAGTTGAGAGGACAGTAAAACAGACACCTATATGCCCCTTCCCCAGGCCTGCCAACTGAAACCGAGTCACTTTCTCTCTCCGCACAGATATACCCACATAATTTGCTTTCTTTGCTGAGCCTTTTGAGAGTAAGTAGCAGACATTCTGTGACAACCTACCCTCACATTCCACCCCAATTTTCCTGAACACGCATCTAACAAAGACCTCCTCCTACAAAACCATGATGCCATGTTCACACCCAAGAAAGTGAGCATCCACATGATATTAGTTACTACGTGGTCCAGATTCAAAGCCTCCCCATGGACGCAGAGTCCTCTCTAGATTGTTCCTTCCTCAAGTGGGAATCCAGTCCATAAGGAGATGTCCCATTTAGTGTTCATGTGGCATCTGTTTGTCTTCAGTCAACATTTAAAAACCTACAGGGAAATCTAAGCGTGTTCCTTCACATGCTCCACAAACACATTCAAGTCTGCCGGGCAGGGAGACAGACAGTCCCTGCCTGCAGGACGTTTGCAGCCCTGGAAAGGAACTGCTCACGGACAGTGCAGGCCGATTCCACAGGGTGTCTGTATTCCCAACAAGCCAGAACATAAATCTTAGCTGGGCCCATCGTCTGACGATGATGAAAGCGACACGAGCTTCTGCTCCCTTCGCACAGGGACTGCTCAATCTTGGATGTCCTTTGTAAGCTGGCACATCCTCAGCACTGCTAACCCCCAAGTGCCACCACCAGGCTTAGGGATTTGGAGAGTAAACTCTGTAAAGTTAGGGTGACAGACTTGGGATTTATACTTGTCGTTTGCTTTGATGAACAACTCAGATGGACAAAATACACTAGATTCCTCTTAAAGTGGGCAAGCTGCAGGGCGCCTGGGTGGCTCAGTCAATTAAGTGTCTGACTTTGGCTCAGGTCATGACCTCACGGTTCATGAGTTTGAGCCCCTCATCGGGCTCTGCACTGACAGCTTGGAGCCTGGTGCTTGCTTCAGATTCTTTGTCTCCCTCCCTCTCTCTGCCCCTCCCCTGCTGATTCTGTTCCTTTCTTTCTCTCTCCCTCTCTCTTAAAAATAAATAAACATTAAAAAACAAAATAAAAAATAAAATGGGCAAGCTATGACTGATTTTGTTCATATAACCATCAGAAATTAGAATGTTTCAAATCCTTTACTTACCAGTGGAAGGTTTTTCCCGGGAACGTTGGGGAAGTCATGGTGTTCATTGTGGTAACCCACATTGAAGGTTAGGAGATTCAGAGGCCCATAATATGAATAAGTTTCATGTCCCTTTAAGAACATGTAATGTTCAGCTATAAAATGTCCAGAAATCGGGTGCAAACCTAGACCGAGTAAGGATGCTGCCAACATGTAGACTAAAGATTTAATTCCCAAAACGTAGTAAATTATAATGTCAAAAGTGATCTGGATCACAGTATTAATCATTTCCAGGTAAGATATCGGTTTGGGGTTGATGAACAGAGGTCGAAAAGCATAAAAGAGAGGCTGAAGGATAACCCACACGAACTTTCTGAAAGTGGTACAGAAAAACCAGCCTTCAAAATCAGTGGGGATGTCCACATCGATGCCATCACCCCCAAGGTAGCGATGATGGTCCATGTGATACCTCTTAAAAGAAACGGAGTATGGAACACCAATAGGAAGATTAGCAAATATTCCAAACCAGCGATTCCACAGGGCTCGGTTGTTGCCGAAGGCGCTATTGTGGGAGACCTCATGGATAGCCAGGGTCATGGAATGGTTAATGCAGCTGCCGAAGGCATATGCCCAGAACAGGACCCACTTCCAGTCCAGGTCTTTCACCAAGTAAAACGCAACCAGCTGAGTGAGAACCATCAGCATTATAATCCAGATCAAGTTGGGATCAGGTTTCATCAAGGACTTTATCTCTGGATACTTCGCTGTAAAGAAAAAACAATCAGGAATTGAAGACCACATAAGAGTTCTGCAATTCTAATTAAGCCAACAGCGTTAAATTAACCCATGACCCATGAATTACTTTTCCCCCAATCATTAAATGCCCTCTATTAAGGGTAAAGGTACTAAGTACCATGTCGCAACAAATTTATGCAGGAAAAATTAGCCTCAAAATCTAGATTCTCCACACTACCAGAAAGGAAGTCACATATGAGTAAAGATTTCATGCTATCCAATGCCCTTTACGCCCCTAATAATTCTTTGTATATAAAATGAGTTTTACAAAGTTGTGATCATAATCTGAGAAATCTATTCTAAGAAATCTATTCTAGTGTCTGACAGATGTACTGTATACTTATGACAATACATGTATATACTTATATATAATGCATACGCAATCTACTTATACATGTAAATGCTGTATTACAGACAGTATGTACTTAGATTTCATAATTTCCTTTACAGTGACTAAATCACTTCTGGCCGCCAGTTTTAACTTCTACCCACTTCCCTATTTGTAGACATTTAGATTTCTAATATTTTTTGCCAGCGTAGGCTTCTTACAGTCATCAGGATAATTACAAAGGATCCTGCGGACTTACAATGCCACTTTCCTAAGTGCTCATTTCTGTGTTAGATCTGCTAAATTTGTTGGATACTTATTTTCTCTGTTGACTGTACGTGCAGATATCCAAGCTGGAGGAAAAAGACCAATAGAAAAAACTCTACATCTCAGCACATGTTGCCAAGGGCAAATGCAGACTCTTCTCTGGGTCTTATCACCTGCCCAGGTATAATCATCGCCTTTGGTTTTATGTGCTGCTGAGTAGCTATGACCCAGGACAGTATGAGGACAAAGGACCTTTTTCTTTTCTTTCTTTCTTTCTTTTTTAATGTTTGTTTATTTTTGAGAGAGAGAGACAGACAGAGCGTGAGCCAGGGAGGGAGACACATAATCGGAAGCAGGTTCCAGGCTCTGAGCCATTAGCACAGAGCCCGATGTGGGGCTCGACCCCATGGACCACGAGATCATGACCTGAGCTGAAGTTAGACGCTTAACCAACCGAGCCACCCAGGTGCCCCCCAAGGACCTTTTTCTTGAGATAGGTCATTTAGAATATTTTTGAAAAGATAAAGGTATCTTTTGAAAAGATAAAGCGCAGCTTCATCCTCTTTTCTCTAAATGTGAAATGAGGAATTCAACCAAACCTTAAACTTAACAAGGCAGGAAGCTATTTAGTCCAGTTTTATATACAAGACATGGGGGTAGTGCTAACCCCCAGTGAGTAACTCCCAGTTCTCTCTCTCCATTCCCTCTAATCTTTGTTGATTTAGTTCATTTCATCAAATGTTAATAACGTTGTAGGCAACAGACCAAAAAAAGTAACCCTCCAGGCCTAGATGTGAATTAGCCCAAAACTAATTTTCCTCATATGAATGAAAAGTTCAGTTAAGTCATTCCTTAAAATATGGGCATTCGGGGAATAATTCCAGGACAGAACAACTGTTCAGTGAAGATAAGCAGTAATTCGCTGGTACTAAACTATATAGTTCTGTTTAGACAGAGCTCCAGCATGTTTTCCTTATATAAAACTGGATTAAATGGACACACCTGCCTCAGGATAGAAGGTGATACGCATTTTATAAGTATTTTAAAATCAGGATGGGCGCCTGGGGGGCTCAGTTAAGCCTCTGACTCTTGATTTCAGCTCAGTCATGACCTCCTTCCTGACAAACCCCCACCCGACCCCATGTCCCCAGTCCCACAACAGCAGAGCCTGCTTGGAATTCTCTCTCTTCCTGCCCCTTCCCTGCTTGTATTCTGTAACCGAACATTTAAAATAGAACACAGAAATGACAAAGCCGCAATGTATCGTTCTCTCGGACAAATCAAGTTGCTCCAAGTGATTCTGTACCAAATTCTTGAAAAGCTTATTTTAGTCTGTAAAATCGGTGCCATGATGGTACCAGTATGAGTAAATAAGGAAAGAAGAACTTTTTTTTAACAAATGGTGCTGGAACAGCAGATTATCCACATGCAAAAGGATGGAGTTGGACCCCTTCCTCAAACCATACACAAAAATTAACTCAAAACAGATCACAGACTTCAATGTAAGAAAACTGGAAAACTCTTATAAGAAAAAAGAAGTAAATCTTCATAACCTTAGATTGCTTAGATACTAAAACCAAAAACATAAGTGACAAAATTAAAAAACTGATAAACTACACTGCATCCAAAACCTTTTGTGTTGCAAATGATACTATTAAGAAAGTGAAGCCACAGAATGGGAGGAAATGTTTGCAAATCACGTTATCTCATAAGTGACCGGAACTAGAATATAGGAAGAACTCTTAAAGCTCTTAACATTAGTTACCCACTTTAAATTTTTTTTTAATGTTTTATGTATATCTGAGAGAGAGAGAAAGAGAGAGAGACACATGTGAGGAGGGGAGGGTCAGAGAGAGTGAGGGAGATACAGAATCTAAAACAGGCTCCTGGCTCTGAGCTGTCAGCACAGAGCTCGACGTGGGGCTCGAACCCACAAACTGCAAGATCATGACCCGAGCCAAAGTCGGATGCTTAACTGACTGAACTCAGGCCCTAGTTACTCACTTTAAAATGGGCACAGAATCTAAACAGGCTTTTCCCCAAAGCAGATACACAAATGGCCGATAAGCACACAAAAGGTGCTCAACATTATTAGTCACTAGGAAAACGCAAACTGAAATCAAAATGAGCTACCACTTCACACATGCTAGAAGGGCTATGACGAAAGACAGGCAAAGACAAGGACGAGAAGAAACTGGGGTCCACACATGTTGCTGGGGACCACGTAAAACGGTGCGGCTGGTTTGGAAAAGTCCGGCTGGTTTGGAAGAGTCCGCCCTTCCTCAAAATGCTAAACGCAGAGCTACTGATTACCCAGCAATTCCACCCAAGAGCAATGAAAACACATCCATACAATAACTTGCCTGTTCACAGCAGCATTATTCGTAATAGTCAAAAGGTGAAAACAGCCCACACTCTACCAGGTGATGATCCCATAATGGAAATGTGGACTGTCCATACGATGGAATGTTACCTGGCCACTAAAAGGAGTAAAATACTGACACGCTACAGTTTGGATAAAGCTTAAAAATGTTAGGCTAAGGGAAAGAAGCCAGCCACAAAAGACCAAGCAAGGTCTATGTGAATTCATTTATAACAAATGTGCAGAAGAGGTAAATCTGGAGAGACAGAAAGTAGATTAGGGGTTGCTCAGGGCTGAGAGGTGAGACTGGTGAACACAGGAATTGCTTTTCTAACTCCAAAACACAACACTTGCAGAAATAGGTCTTATCATTTAAATATTATCTTTCCTGAGGCTATTTCATCTCCACTCCTGAAACGGGACATTGAGCACTATTTGCACCTGCGCTGAAAATTATATTTTTGTTGAGAAACTTATCAACCTGTTTTACTTTCCAAGTGAAATGGTTCAGTGACATTAAGTATGTGGGAAAAGGCTCATTGCGGAGATAAGCATCAATAAGCACCTTTTCACTTCCTTGATTTCCTGAGTATTAGACGGCTAACTCCCAGTATTGAGGCGTTGGGGTTTTACAAAGTAGATACCAGATTATTCTTATGTAGCATGTTGATAAGTCATAAGTAAAATGTGTCATTATGCTATCTCTCCTAAGTGATTTGCACCATATTTGCTTTAATTAAAAAGCACACATCCGAGGGCGTCTGGGTGGCTCAGTCAGTTAAGCATCAGACTCTTGGTTTCAGCTCAGGTCATGATGTCAGTTTGTAAATTGGAGTTCCGCATCCAGTCCCCAGTGGGGCTCTGCTGGGACAGCCTGGACCCTACTTGGGATTTGTGTCCCTCCCTCCCTCTCTGCCTCTTCCCCACCTGTGCTCCCTCACCCTCTTTTTCGTGAGAAGGACGGAAGGAAGGGAGGGAGGAGAAAAGGAAGAAAGAAAGAAAACAGCATCCAGCTACCCTGAATGGCAACTGTAAAGGTTCAAGCTACCAATTTACTGATTCGACTTTTTAAAATGCGTTTTAAGTGGACCTACTAACTCTTATTTGTAAACAAAACAAAAAACCCCAAAACCATGACAGCATGACATTTCTATTTCTAACTTTAAACACCCCACCAAAAAAAACTTGCTTTCTCTTTTCACTGGGAAAATTGATGTTGAGACGAAAAATAAAAACTAGTTAAGTACTGCCACTCAGCACCCAACAGGTTCCTGGTATTTTTGAAGTTAAAAGCACCTGCCTTGGAGGCAATGTGAAGTCCCCCTGGAATCTTACCCATTCCTCATCTTTAGCATGCGGTAACAGCAATCTCGTTACTTCGAAGCCCGACCCCTGGGCAGGTCTGGGGCCCACTCAGCACGAGGCCTGCGCCCAGCATCGGGGGCATCCGGGGAGGGGCCTTCGCAGAGCCCGAGAAGCCTCCCTCAGCTGCCCGCGCCCTCCGCCCGCAGGGCCGAGCGGGGCCTAGCTCGCCGGCGGGGACCAGCCCGCGGTCCTCCGTGCGCCTGGCCTGTGGGCCGCCGACCCGGCCTCCCCGAGCCCCCGCGCGCCCCCGCCCCGGACTACGCCCTGCCCTGCGCACGCCCGCGGCAGCGCCCCGGGGGCGGTGGGGAGGGTCTCCGGCTGCCCGGGGCAGCTCCACGCCAGTGCCGCCACGGGGGCCGCAGCCGGGCCTCCCCCCGCCTACCGCCGGGACCCGTCCCTCCCCACCCCCGCCTCCGGGGCCCCCATCCCCCGCCAGGGCCGCTCCACACCCAGAAACCCCTCCCCCGCAGGGACCCCTTGCTCCAAAAACGCCGCCAGGGCCGCTCGCCGCCGGGACCCCCCCTCCCGACCGCCAGGATACCTCCCTCCTGTCCCCCTGCCGGGACTCCCCTCCCTGCGGGCCCTTAACGGGCCGCGGGCGCCGGGGAGCGCAGAGCGCGCCCCGGCGGCGGGAGGCCGCACGCACATAACGGGGAGCGGGCCGGGCCTCACCCAGGATCTCCCGGCGCCGGCTGGCGTGGGGCTGGTCGGTGTAGACCCACTCGAAGTCCTCTCGCGCGACGCGGTTCCCCATGGCGGCGGCTGGCGGGCCCGCTCCGGCTCTCGCTTCCGGCCGGCTCTTACGAGGCTGCTGCGGCAGCGGCTCCCAGCTCTTGTCAGCCTGCTGCGGGCGGAACGGCGGAGACAGAGGCCGGGGCGGGGCCCCCGTGGTCCGCCCGCTGGCCCCTCCCCGCCGGCTCCGCTGGCCCCGCTGGCCCCGCCCCTCAGGCCTCGCCCCGCTGAGCCATTGGTCCCGCCCTACTGGCTCAGCCCCACTGGCCCCGCCCCGCCGTGTCCCGGCTGCCTACGCGGAAGGCGGCCTCTCCCGCAGCCCAGCCGCACCTCGGCGCAAAACCTCTGGTGAGCTCTGCAGAGCGGGCTCTCGGCGGCGCCTGTCGGCCTCCTTGGGAAGCGGAAACCTCAGGAGAGCGCGGGTGCGGGGCCGCCAGAAACTGACTGAGACGAGAAGCCTCCGTCGTTGAGAGGGAAGGGACGAGAGCCTGCCTTCCCGCGCCATCCAGCCTCGTCGGCGCCAGCACGGCGTCTCCTGAGAGGGGCGGCTGTTGCACAGCTCGTTACCACCTCTCCTGTCGAAAAGAAACGTGGGCCGAAACTACAGAAAGGAAGATGACGTTCAAAAGCACGATTTATCCCCGCGTCCCGTCTGTCAGGGAGGAGCTCGGAGCTGCTCGGACTGCAGCCTCGGGACGAGGGTTCCCTCCCCGAGTCAGGAGGCCCCCTCCCCTCTCGTGTCAGGAAGTCCCCTCTCCAGGCAGGAGGTCCCCTGGCTGGTGAGGACCGGGGGTTTCAGGCCGGCGGGCTGAAGGTCACCTTTTGGGAGAGGCCAGACTGCAGTTGGGCTGGGTGTTAAGTCTTGGTTTGCTGACTGGGACTTGGCACGAGTGACCCCCCCCCTTCCGATCCGCCCCCAGCCTGCCTCAGGACCCAAAAACTTTAAGGCCTGGGCGCCACTCCCAGCTGCCCTCTGGACGCCTCGCAGTGCGTGCTGGTCCTCTGCGGTCAAGACTTCAGGCTCACGACTTTTAAGTGGCTCATTGTCTTCATTCCTCTCCTGACATTCCAGCCCCGGGGGCCGATTTGCTTGGTGGTTAGCGCTGCCAACAGGCCTCTGCAACTTTTGGGAAAGCCCAGCCCACCAGGGAGACCGCGGTGGTTCTGCGCTGGATGACCTCGGTGTCTGGAGTGCACTTCAGAGTCCCTGCCCCCAAGCCCCAAACCAACCGGAATAGAGTCGGAAAAAGACTGAGTTGAAGGAGTCGCCTTTCTATGCGAAGTGGCTTGTTCAGTGATGTTATGAGGCTGAGCTTCAGCTTTGGCAGAAATGTGACTCCTGATGCAGCAGGTGGTGGTGGCTACAGCCGGGACACCTCCTTGCTCAGCTATGATGTGATCAAGGCCTGTCCTGCCGTCAAAAACAACTTTGGCCTTGGAGAGATGCCTGCGGCTGGTGAGATCTTTTTGTGATTGCAGGCATGCGATTTAGATAATCACGAGAAAGTGGGGGTGTGAATGTTCTGTGACTTGGGAAGGTATTTGTGTGTCTAATTGGACAAGTGTGGTGATAATTGGAGAAGGGTGAAAACAAGGCACTGGGGGCTGTGGCCATGAAAGTTGGACTATATGAGTGACTTTTTTTTAAAAAAAGTTTATTGCCAAGTTGATTTGCATATAACACCCAGTGCTCATACCCAGAAGTGCCCTCCTCCATGCCCATCACCCCCCTTCCCCTCTCCCCGACACCCATCAGTCCTGTTTGTTCTCAACATTCAAGAGTCTCTCATGGTTTGTCTCCCTCCCTCTCCCCCGCCCCGCCCCATTTCCCCTCTTCTTCTCCCCCATGGTCCTCCGTTAAGTTCCTCCTAATCCTCCTATACATGCAAACATATGGTAGCTGTCTTTCTCTGCCTGACTTATTTCTGTCAGCATAACATCCTCAAGTTCCATCCATGTTGTTACACATGGCCAGATTTCATTCTTTCTCATTGCCGTGTAGTATTCCACAGTGGAATATATGAGTGACTTCCAAGAGGGGAGTTTGTTTCTGAGGTATCCAGTGTCTGCACAGGACCAGACGTCAGGTGGAACCTTCTTTTGCTGTGGGATTTGTACCCAAGGTTCGGGTCCCCGAAGTGTGGCTGTGTCTGAGGACCAGTATAGCCCCTTACATGGAGATTCGAGTGCAGTCTTTGCTCCTAGTGATTGCAAATCAGAAGGGTGGGAGAGAATTGGAAACATTGATTTGGACAATCCCAGCCAGATATCCAAGCTAGAAACATTCAGGAGCCGGGCCAGTTTACAGGTGTATAACAAATCCTCAAAGACAGCAAGACTAGAATCTAATGTCTACACAGGTGCAAACATACTTCTCCTCTCTGTAATCATCCCCACTTTTTTTTTTCTACCAAGATAATCACAGTAAACAAATTGGTTTTTATTAAATTTGGCCTTATTATTTACATAGTGCAACAAGAGTAGCAGTCAACCATATAAACTCTTTTATTTATTTTTCTTCGGCTAAGACAGCAGGAGATGGTTTATCATACCCGTGTTACATGCAGCCACAAATGAAAACAGAATTAGTGCTGAAAGCCACAGGGCCCAGGGCAAAGGGCTAAAAGGGACTGTCTCTCAAAGGTGGCGGTTGCGATCAGTTTGTGACACATATTCTAGATCCATTGAATCAAGCTCTAAAAAGGAGGCATGCAGTCCAACAGTTGGTAGCAGTGTCTCTGGCCTCTGGCTTTCCTTCTTTCTGCTCCTGTGGCTCCGTGGGTGCATAAGCTTCTGGTTTACTTCGACCTCTGCCTCATCTTTGTTGTTCTTTGTTGCTTCAGCATGCACATTTGCTTCTTCTTCCACTTGGCTTTCTTGGCGCAGAGGTTCCCAAGAAGAAGGTGCTAAGGCTGAGCCATATAAACTCTTTAAGGCTTGAACTTTTAAAAGCCTCTGAGGCCAGGAAGCAAGCCAAAGATTTTCATCACATATTACCTGCAATATTTATAGTTTGGGTGAATTCCTGTCTTCTTGAGACCCCATCCCCCAAAATGCTAAGGTTCCTGGTTCTACCAGGAAGTGATATTCCTAATTTACCTGGTAAGACTGCCAAGAACCCTATGAACAAGGCTCCAGACCAATTTATCTAAGAGTTCCCGAAGGCTGTGTGGTCATATCTGAGTTTATGCATGTCTCGTTCAAATATGACATTCCAGTCAAACCCTTGGTAAATAGCCAATGTTTCCAGTTGTTTCCTGTTACAAAGAGAACAGATTCTTACTGAACTTACACAAATAACTATATTGGCATGAAAAGAATACTCAAGGGTTTCTGAATTCTGGAGGCATCAGGTATGGAGAAAAGGTAAATATTTCATCTTTGTTTACAAAGGTATCCTTTACCAAATTGCTGTAAGTCACAGGTAGTTTAAGAGAATACATTTCCCTTAAGTCTAGAAAAACAAAACATTAAGGAACTAGCAGTGTTTCAAACAAAAAGTCGTTAAAAAATTATAATCATCCTCACAAGTTTTTTTCAGTCCAGTATAATTAGTTCTTATTCTGCTTGAATCTAGTTTTTCTGTTACTTCTGGAAATTTGTACCCAGTTTACTTTTATGATTTATCAGAAACATGTACTTTTCAGAGTCCTTTCCATGAATCTCTTTGAAGATGAAGCATTTTGCAGGAATACTTTTGCAAGTATCAAAATAAAGCAAGAAAATAGCTTTTTAATAATAGCCATTCTGACAGGTGTAAGGTGATACTCCACTATGGACTTCATTTGCATTTCCCTGATGGTTAGTAATGATGTTAGCATCTTTTTGTGTGTGTGTGTGTATATGTGTGTGTGTGTGTGTGTGTGTGTGTGTGTGTGTTTGGATTTATTTATTTATTTACTTACTTACTTACTACTTACAGAGATAGCATGGGTTGTGGAGGGAGAGAGGGAGAGAGAATCCCATGCAGGCCCCACACTGTCAGCACAGAGCCCGATGTGGGGCTCAAACCCACACAGTGACCTAAGCTGAAACCAAAAATTGGACACTTAACCTACTGAGCCACCTGGGCACCCCTGTTGAGTATCTTTTCATGTACCTGTTGGCCATCTGCATGTTTTCTTTGTCCTATCAGGTTCTGAATATCAACTTCCAAACTGGACAATTTCTGACCACAGAGCTACTCAAAAAGTCCTTTTGAATGAAATTCATCACCATTCTCATCCTCACCTGGCTTATCTTTTTCTAGTTTTTCTCCAAGCAGTAATATTCTTCAAATTATATATTTAAACTAAATAGTTGCTCCCCTCCCCACTACTCCATGAAAGTCTGATAAAAAGGGAGCTGCTGTGGTTAAAGTATGAAAGTTGGCCAGACGTAAACAAAGAAAAAACAGTAGATGTTAACAGAGGCTGGAGGAAGGGGTGGAGGGGAAAGGGAAGCTATCATTTAATGGGTACAGAGTTTCTGTTTGGGATGATAAAAAAAATAGTCCTGGAAATGGATAGTAGTGATGATTGTACTGCATTGTGAATATACTTAATCCCACTTAATTGTACACTTAAAGATGGTTAAAATGGTAAAATATGTACATTTCAACACACACATATACATAAAGAATAGAAACTTAAGAGAGATGTGAGACAACATTAAGATTATCTATATACATGTAATGGGAATGTAGGAAATTTTTTCAAAGAAAAAAGTAGTTGGAAACTATACAAATTTGATGAAAAACATTATTCTGTACATCCAAGAAGCACAATGGACTCCAAGCTCATGCACTCAATGGACAAAACAGGAGATCAACACCCAGACACATCATGGTAAAATGCTGAAAGACATGGAGAAAATCTTGAAAGAGTGAGAGAAAAAATGGCTCAATACATACAACGAACCCCCCCTGCCCCCCCCCCCCAGAGCATTAACAGCTGACTCTGCATCAGAAACAGTGGAGACCAGAAGGCAGTGGGATGGCATATTCAAAGTACTAGGGGAAAACACCCTGGCAACTGAGAATCTTATCTGGCAAAGCAGTCTTTCAAATATGAAGGTAAAATACATTTCCAGATAAACATAAACTGAGAGAATTTGTTGCTCAGAGAGCCATTTGATAGGAAATACTAAAAG